CCTGTTCTCTCTCAGATATGCCTCTTCTTTCTGTGTGTCTTTGAGGAGCTCTTGGGATTTCTGACTCAGAACCGTGGTCAGTCCATCTCCACGTCCTTGTCTCTCTCCTGATTCTTTTCTTCCAACTCGGTTTCTATCTCTTTCAATATTTCTCTGACTCTTGAGTTGTATCTCCCTGTCTCCTCTGAACCCTTCCTTCCCCCACTCCTGCTCTCTGCTCACCTCCCTCCACCTCTGCCCCCACCCCTCCCAACCTCCCCCAACTGTATCCTCCCTCCCCAGGGGTGACGTTCAGCAATGGTGAGCGAGCCAAGCAGCTCCGGCGCTTCTCCATCACCACGCTGCGGGACTTTGGTGTGGGCAAGCGTGGCATCGAGGAGCGGATCCAGGAGGAGGCGGGCTTCCTCATCGAGGCTTTCCGGGGCACGCAAGGTGAGCCAGATGGGCGTGGGCAAGAAGGAGGAGAGTACCCACGAGGATGCAAGAACTTTCTGGTCCTGGAAGGGGACTGGCCTGGGGGAAGGCATCTAGGCTCCCGGCTCTGAGTTCTTGTGCTGAGAGCTTGGCTCATCATTCCGGTGCCCTCCTCCACTTCTCAGGCTGGTGTCAGACTGTCCAGTGGATGCTCCCCCAGATCCCTGTCTCTCCTCAACCCCATCCCATTCCCCAGGCACCTTCATCGATCCCACCTTCTTCCTGAGCCGGACAGTGTCCAATGTCATCAGCTCCATTGTCTTTGGGGACCGCTTTGACTATGAGGATAAAGAGTTCCTGTCACTGCTGCGTATGATGCTGGGAAGCTTCCAGTTCACAGCTACATCTATGGGTCAGGTAACCCATTCCAGTCTGTCTCTACAACACCCCTACTACAACCCTCCAATTTCTTTCCCACATGGAGACAGGTGCCCCAAATACCATCTTCTTCTGGTAGGGTACCTTCAAAATCAGTCCCCATCTTTGGACAACTAAACAGCTGCACCAGAACTCAGGACAGGTACCCAATACCCAGTTTCCAGAGACACCTGTATATCGACAGTAGCTCCTCAACAAAAGAGGAAGGAGAAGGAGAAGGAGGAGAAGGAGGAGGAGGAGGAGGAGGAGAAGAAGAAGAAGAAGAAAGAAAGAAGAAAGAGGAGGGCCAGGAAGAGGGGAAGGAGGAAAAGTAGGTGGGAGAGGAGGAGGAATAGAAAAAGAAAGAGGAGAAGAAAGAGGAGAAAGAAGAGGAGGAAGGGGATGGGGGAGCAGAAGAAGAAGGAGGGGAGAAGGAGAAGGAAAAAGCCAGAGCCTATAGATAAGAAACACACCCTCAAACCAGCCTCTTCCTCAGGCAGGTACTCCCATCCCTACTTACCTTAATAACTAACAGTTGCTCCCTATTAAAATATTCCATCTTTCCATGAATATCCTAACATCTGTACAAGAAGTCACCTCAGCCCACCTCTTGAATACCTGAAGACCAGGTGCTATAAATCTAGCCCAACAAAATCATTTCATATTTACACAAGCATCCTACACTGGCCCACTAGAATAGCTAGTAAGTGCCACCTCCCAAGCCCAGTTAAATATCTGAACATCAGGACAGGTTCCAACAATGATTCCCTAAATGTGTAAACACCTGGATAGACTGTTCCCCAAACCATGAAATAAGTGTCCCCCAACCCAGCTCACTCAAACACATACAGATGTGCCCCTATCAGCCCATGTGAATAACTGAAACACATGAACAGGTGTGTCCCCCACTTTAACACCTGCACACCAGCCCAAATTAACTGGAATACCTAGAAAAAAGCCCCCAATTCAAATCCCTTAAATATATGGACAATTACCTCAAAATTGTGAGACCACATGAATGCCTAAACACCTAGACATGTGTCTCCCAACAAAACCCAACCTGACTATCTGAACACCTACATGTGTTCGCTAATCCAGCCTCACTTGAACACCTGAAACCTGGATATGGGTCCCAATCCATCTCAACGATATGCTGGGAAAGGAGCCCTCACACTTAAGTCATGTAAAAACTTAGATATCTCCTCCCATCAGCTCCATGTAAATCTTAAACACCTGACAGGTGCCTGTAACCCAGTGCCTACCTTGCCCCAAGAAAGGTCCCACTCCCATCAAGACCTGCCTGCTGACAGCTGTCTTTCCCATCCCTTCTTCTCTCCCCAACCCCAGCTCTGTGAAATGTTCCCATCAGTCATGAAACACCTGCCAGGACCACAGCAACAGGCATTTAAGGATCTGAAAGGTCTGGAGGACTTCATAGCCAAGAAGGTGGAGCAGAACCAACGCACGCTAGATCCCAACTCCCCGCGGGACTTCATCGACTCCTTCCTCATCCGCATGCAGGAGGTACACCCCAACAGCCAGTGCAGAGAGCTGCAGAGCCAGGCAGAGGGAAACCAGGCTGGCATGGGGAGAGCAGAGGCTCGTTCAAACCATTCCCCTCATAACATCCTCACAATCCCAAGTATAATAACTATGGCTGCTCCCTCTACTGAGCCCCTGCCCATGGGCAGGACCTGTGTGTGCCAACCATAATAGCAAGCAATTCCGTACCATGCACTCACTGACTCTATTCCTCTCCTTCTCAATATTCCCACCATAAAAAAGTGTTCTTGAAGAGTAAAGGACAGATAGGCAGGTGGGTAAGGAGTGTGGGAAGGGCATTTTGGGCAGAGCCAGCAGCCTGAACAAAGAGCTAGTGGAACCAAGTCCCTCCTCCCACCTCTGGTCTGGATCTAAGAGAGAGGGGTCCAAAGAGAAAGACCCCAGAAGGGCCCTGAGAGCTCTGAGGGGAGTGGGCTTGGCCTGAAGCCCTCTCTCCCTATAGGAGCAGAACAACCCCAACACAGAGTTCTACTTGAAGAACCTGGTGCTGACCACACTGAACCTCTTCTTTGCGGGCACTGAGACAGTCAGCACGACCCTGCGGTATGGCTTCCTGCTGCTCATGAAGCACCCAGATGTGGAGGGTAAGGCTGCAGGGTGGGGGGCAACAAAGTGGCAGCCACAGGCCCTCAAACTTCCTCTGAGCCCACTGCAACATCCCCACCTTCCCCAGATCCCTGAAACCTCAGACATACCCTGTTAACCGGAGACTAGGTGATATTCTGCTGATGAGCACCAGCCAAGTTTCACTAGGTGTTTAAGTATTGAAAATATCTGAACGGATTGGTAAATAGCTTCCATGCTGGGTCAAATGTATATCCACTGCCTGCTCTCCAAACCATTCCCCAAACTCCTCCCTTATGCCTACTCATGATTCTGGCACGACCGGGTGACCAGGATGCGGCACCAACACTGCGTATGGCCAATGTCTGTTTTGAATGGTCTAAGTCCATGGCACACGTGGATGTACATATTTGGACTATCATCACTGCCCCAAGACCCCAGATAACTAAATACCTTCCCCCTCCTCCCACAGCCAAAATCCACGAGGAGATTGACCAGGTGATTGGCAAGAACCGGCAGCCCAAGTTTGAGGACAGGGCCAAGATGCCCTACACAGAGGCGGTGATCCATGAGATCCAAAGATTTGGAGACATGATCCCCATGGGATTGGCCCGCAGAGTCACCAAGGACACCAAGTTTCGGGAGTTCTTCCTCCCCAAGGTATCTTCCTGTCCCACCTTGGGGGACCTCCAACCTGCTCCCTGTGACCCAGCAATCCATTCCCTTAGAAGCTTCCCAGCCCCTGTCCCATTGCTTCAATCAAACACTGCTCCAACCACCATGTCCCTTCAATCCCCTCAGAGATTCCTGAAGCCCGTGTCTCCCCCAGAGCTCTTTCCACAAGGAATATGAACCCCATACCCCCAAACTTCCTCTCTCAAGAGACATGAACTTCATGTCTAGACCTCCTCCCTCAAGGACACGGATCTCATGTCCCCCAAACATCCTGCCTAGAGAAACACAAACCTGATGTCTCTCAATCCCAGTCCCAGAGAGCATGAACCCCCATGTCCTCTCAACCTCCTGCCTTGAGAGACATGAACTGTGGGTCCCCCACACCTTCTGTCCTAAGAGACACAGAACCTGTGCTCCCCAAACTTCCCTTCTCAGGAGACATGAACCCCCATGTCTGCCAAGCTTCCTGGTTCAGAGACCTGAGTCTCATGTCCCCAGGGGACCCACACTCCCCCGCCTCCCATTTCTTATCACTCAGGGCACCCGCATTGTCCCATCAACCTCCATGTGCTTTCAGCACACCCTGCCCCCACTCCACCTTATCAAATGCCCCTCTCCTCCTCACCAGGGCACTGAAGTGTTCCCTATGCTGGGCTCTGTGCTGAGAGACCCCAAGTTCTTTTCCCATCCCCGAGACTTCCACCCCCAGCACTTCCTGGATGAGAAGGGCCAGTTTAAGAAGAGTGATGCTTTTGTGCCCTTCTCCATCGGTAAGAGACCCCGGTCTGCTTGCTGCTAAGCCACTGCTCCCACCAACCGGGCCTCCTTCATCCCACATCCCGTCTCTAAGCTGTAGCCTGGGGTCTGTGTCCAGCTTGAAAGTCCCTCTAAGATCTACTCTAGAGCCAACCAGCTGCAAACCCCATGACTACCAAGTACCTGTGTGCAGGCAACTGGAAAGGGATGATTGTATCCATTTCACAGATGGGGAAAATCAAAGTCCTTAGTGAGTCAGGTATTTGTCCAAAGTCATTTAGATTCTTGAGATTCCTTGGGAGGAGATGAGAGCCCGGCAGCCATATCTGAGTGTGTGCTTGGAAGGAAGGGGCACCTAAATTTCCCATTGCTACAGCTTGGGATAGCTCACCCCTATCCCATGTACAAGAGAAACTGATGCTCAGAGAGGGTTAGAGATGTCTCTGAAAGTTTCTCAGTCCCTGCTCTCTGGGAGAATGCAGTTGGGGGTGGGTAGTGGAGAAGGGAGCAGTGAGAGTAGGCCTCACCTCCAGTCCTCCCATTCTGTCTCTTCAGGAAAGCGGTACTGTTTCGGAGAAGGTCTGGCTAGAATGGAGCTCTTTCTCTTCCTCACCACCATCTTGCAGAACTTCTGCCTCAAGTCCCCTCAGCTGCCCCAAGATATTGATGTGTCCCCCAAACTTGTGGGCTTAGCCACTATCCCACGAAATTACACCATGAGCTTCCAGCCCCGCTGAGCAAGGGCCATGCGGGGTGGGGGAGGGGAAGGATGGGGGTGGAGCAAAGCAGTGGGCGGGGCAGGGGCGGGGCTATCAGGAGGGAGGTGACTTAGGGAAATCTGAGGGGGCAAGATGGATAGAAGACGAAAGGAATGGGCCCTCTCTGTTCCCCTTGGTAGAAATAACTCTTTCAGAAATGGGATGAAGGAAGGGAACATATTTATTGAGTAAATATTCTGCGTCGGCTCCATGCTAAAAGCCTTAGCACGTCCACCTCACCTAATGCCCACAGTCTATGCAACAGAGAACAGTGTTCATGCCCATTTTACAAGTGACAAATCTTAATTGATTCCCAAGGAATCTATAACAACGACAAAAACCTTCCCAGTAAATGAATTTTTCACTGTCACTAAACATACTAAAATCTTTTGTTATTGTTGTTCTTTTCTTTTTAAAAAAATTTTTTAATGTTTATTTATATTTGAGAGAGACAGAGCGCAAGCAGCAGAGGGGCATAGAGAGAGAGATAGAATCTGAAGCAGGCTCCAGGCTCTGAGCTGTCAGCAAAGAGCCAGACTTGGGGCTCGAACTCACAAACCACAAGATCATGACCTGAGTGGAGGTCGGATACTTAACCCACTGAGCCACCCAGGCGCCCCTGTTGTTGTTTTCCAGCAACGAATCCTAGCAATTAATCCTAGGAAACCAAAATTAAAAACACTATACCACTTACAGTCACTCAAAAAATGAAATACTTACGTACAAATCTAACAACACATGCGCAGAACTTATATGCTGGAAGCTACAAACTACTGAAGAAAGAAATCAAATCACTTTTAAATAGAGAGACAATCTAAATCTCCATAGACAGATGAGTGGATAAAGAAAATATGGTAAATACATACAATGGAATATTACTCAGCCATTAAAGGGAAGGAGTCATCAGTAGCAGTCTTCAGAATGATTCCCAATGGCCCCCACTTTCTGGTATATATGACCTTGTGTGGTTGTTCCTCCCTGTATTGTATCCAGGTTGATCTATAGAATAGTCAGAAGATCTGGGTTGTCACTTTTGAGATTAGAATAGTACAGGGGGATCATTAGTTTAAAAAAAATCAGTAGTCACTCAAAAGACGGGGGTATGGTATTTTACAACTCCTGCATGATGTTGAGAGAAATGGTGCTTTCTGCTAAATTTGCGACCAGCTTTCCCTGTGTCTATCACTCCAGCCTGACTAATGACCAGGCTGGATTTCTTATTGAGGCCAAGCTGATTTCATCTTCCCTGTTAGGTTTTCACTTTTTCAAATGAGACTGGGGTATGGGGATGGGTTTGGTATATCGGCATTGAAGCTGAATTTTGGTTTGGTCTCAGGTTGGGCTGTTACATGATGTGTTGGATTTGGTGATTGGATTTATAGAATTTAGATGGAGAATAAGTATTGGAGAATGGCCAAATTTGGCAGTATTTGGAATAAAAGATGGAGCTGGAAGTTGGGAGAAAATCATGCATTCATTTTGACCAATAGAATTGGGATGGGATTGTTTACAGAAATTTATTTGTTTTAAATGTTTATTTTTGTGAGAAAGAGACAGAGAGACAGAGACAGAGCATGAGTGGGGGAGGGGCTGAGAGAGAGGGAGACAAAATCCAAAGCAGTCTCCAGGCTCTGAGCTGTCAGCACAGAGCCCTACGCGGGACTTGAACTCACGAACTATGAGATCATGACCTGAGCCAAATTTAGACACTTAACCAACTGAAGCACCCAGGCACCCCCAGAATTTTTTTTTTACTTTATTTATTTATTTTGAGGGAGAAAGAGAGAAGCAAGAAGGTGCAGAGAGAGAGAGGGAGAGAAAATACAAACAGGCTCTGCACTGTAGTGCAGAGCCCAGGGCAGGGGTCTAACTGACGAACCGTGAGAGCATGACCTGAGCTGAAATCAAGAGTTGGCAGCTTAACTGAATGAGCCACCCAGGTCCCCCTGATTACAGAAATGTGTAAAGGGAGTTGAGTTGAGGTTTAGGTATATCGTCAGAACTGGCTCTGGCTAATCTGACCTGTCAGTTGAGACGAAAGTTGGTAATGAGGATGATGTTAAAATAAAGGTTGGGATGAGAATGATTTGAGCTTAAAAATGGAAAGGGGAATTGGAACAAAGTACAATTTAAGATAGTTGCTGTATTTGGGGAAGGTGAAGTTTGGACAACTTTATGCCAAGTCATTGACTCTGCAGCTTCCATGTCATCGGATGTCACTAGCAAGATCAATGACCCTGGGGGACACCAACATGGGAGAACCATCTCCCTCTTTCATGTTTCAATAATGAGGAAAGTGTTTTCTGGGATGGAAGAGAGGGGGAACAGGCTTACCATTTTCCCTGTTGAAGTTGGAAAACAAGAGGAAGTCATTCGGGTCAATGAATTCCTTATCATGGTCCACAAGGGCCTCCTTCACAGCTTGGTACCCCCTAAGGACCACCAGTGACCTGGATCCTGGATACAAGGTGTTTATGGGGCCATACTCCTTACTCAGCTACAGGCAGCAAGACCGAGCTTACATTGGCTCTTTTATTCTTCCTTCCTGAGTTGAGGGGCCCTGCAACTCTCTGAGCGACATCAGAGACATCAGCATGTCTTGGAAGCGGTTTTTCCAGGAGTGGGAGGGGTCTGGGCCCTGGGGGAAGTTAGTCCTTGCACCGTACGCTGAGGGTCAGGAATAGACAGATAAGAGCCAGGGGCAGAAGTAAGATGGCTGTACTCAAAATGTCTATGGTGAAGGCATGTTGCAGACAGTCACTGAAAGGAAAAGTGGGAGAGGTTGTGACTGGGCAGGGGATCCCTGCATCTCTCATCTCTGTCTGGAACATGCCTTCCCCAGGCCCCAGATACAGGGGAAGATAAGGAGAGGAGAAGAAATAGAGAGGAATAAAGACAGGCAATCAGTCTGGAGAGAGAAAGGGCTGGAAGGTGAATGGGAGGGAGAGACAGAGTAGCAGAGGCATAAAGAGGCAGTGACAGAGGGAGAAACATTAAGAAAGAGGTAGGCAGAGAGACAAAAAGGAAACCAGACAGACATCAAGAAAGACAGAGAAGGGGCACCTGGGTGGCTCAGTCGGTTGAGTGTCCGGCTTCAGCTCAGGTCATGATCTCGCAGTCTGTGAGTTCGAGCCCCGCGTCAGGCTCTGTGCTGATAGCTCAGAGCATGGAGCCTGCTTCAGATTCTGTGTCCCCCTCTCTCTTTGCCCCTCCCCCACTCATGCTCTGTCTCTCTGTCTCAGAAATAAACATTAAAAAATAATAATCATCATAAAAAGAAAGACAGAAACAGGGCAAAGGATAGAAAGAGCTTGACAGGGAATGACTTACACAGGGATAGAGAGGCAGAGACAGAGGTAGTGCAAGAAAGAGACAGACCTCAGATCAGACCCTGAGAGACATCGGAGAGAGAGAGAGAGAGGTCACCTCTCTCCTTCTTTCCCTTTCTCCCCTTCTTTTTCCCTCCCTCTCTCTGTCTCCTTTTCCCTGTGTCTGTCCCCATTTTTTCACATTTCTACATCTTTTTCATGCTTCCCATCTGACACTGGTTGGTGCCTCTAAGTTGTTCAACGGGTGCCTCACGGTTTTTGTGCATGGAATGGGGTAGGGCAGTGGGAGAAAGTCCCAGAGCTGTTCTGACCATCTCCTGGGCAACAGAGAATTTTTCATGGCTCCCCTAATGGCTGAGTTGGGAGATGCGGAATTAGAAGACCCAGGGGTTGTCCCTTTCTTCCTCATGGCCCCTGGCCTCCTGTGTGGTAGACATGGTGAGTGAGAATGTTGGTAACTCAGTATAGTACATCATGACTATTTTTTGGGTAACAGACAAAATCCTGGAAACATTTACCTTTAGATCCAATCAATTTTAGAATTGTGAGACTTTAGGTTTGTAGTCTCCTCAATCTTCTAGAATGTAAGCTCCATGAAGCCAAAATTTTTGGACTGTGAATTTCCACACAAAACATCAGTGGCAGAGGTGGGCTAAGGTCCACGTCTCTATGACATACCCTTTGTACCTTTGCACTGTCATCTCCTGTTTAAGACCAGAACTCCCACCCCTAACTCCCTCATCTACTTTTCCCGTGCTATCCTGACAGCTTGGAGAAAGAGGGAGAAAAGCAGGTGCCCACATTCTCCTCCTTGTCCCTGGCTTCCCTACCACCTTCTTTGGGTATTTCAACAGGTCCTCTACATGCATACCCATGATAGTTCTTACAAAGTGCTTGTCTGCAGGGCTGATGAGGAAATGGCTAGAAGGTGAAGAGGAGAAAGACTGAGAGCCACACAGCAGTTACCAGGTCCTTTATTTTCTTGAATCACCACCATCATCTGCTCCCAGGTCTTATCAAGGCCTTTTGCATCAGGCCTGAAAGGAATGATGGGGGCAGGAGGTCCTGGGTGCCTCCTACTGAGTCAGTGTACCTGGCATCATGCTGGGTGTATTGGCTTGCTAGGGCTGTGGGTACTAAGTACCACATCTGAGTGGCAAAAATGTCAGAAACCCATTGTCTCAGTTCTAGTAGTTGTTTCTCGGTTCACCTCAGGGACTGTGGTTGTTGGAGCCTAACTAATTGGCATTCTGGGACAGGACTGTGAGTAACAGGGTCCTCCTTAATGTGGCCATGGACTATGCATCTTGGCCTGGTTTATTTGTATGTCTTAGAATGAAGCTGTGACTCATGCTAGGCTCAGGGAAAAGACTATACCCGTAACTGATTAGCTGTGTGTGTCCCAACCAGGCTTTGGCCCCAGATATAGAGCACTCAAAGGAAGGACTATACCCTGTGATAAATGGATCCATTGGCTCATGAAAGAGCCATCTCTAAGGAGCTAAAAAAAGAGAGGGAGAGGGGCTCCTGGGCGGCTCGGTTGAGCATCCAAATCTTCATTTCGGCTCAGGTCATGATCCCAGGGTTGTGGGATCAAGTCCCACATCAGGCTCCTCACTGAGCATGGAGCCCGCTTAAGATTCTCTCTCT